ATCGCCGCTAAGCTTCAGATGCTGTTATGACAACAGCACTTGAAAGGCACACGTGCAAGCTGCTAGCAAACAACACCTAGCTTGCACAAGAAGCACTAAAACGGTTAACGTTGAATAGGATGAAAGATACTCACACGTCCGTTAACGAAGTAACAACCTTACGATTATATCCTGACCAAACCCAACGACAGGACACAGACTAGCTGTAAACACACTCTAACAACGCCACAAATATCGAGTCTGATGGACCGCATATGAATCCTGCCTACTTCCTTATTAAAGTGACAAAGCAGAAAATAAGAGATTTTATTGGTTTGGGGGAAACTCACCAGCGCTCGCTCGAGTTCCCATCACGGTCCGATGCTATGGCGTCACCGACCGTGCGACTGGGCGTGTCTCTACGGTACCGTAAGAACGAGGAACAGGAAATTTGACTATTTCCGTGTGAAACCAAGAACAGAATTGTGACAATGGTTGCTACATTGTTACAGGTTATGTAGAAATATACACTCAGCGGCCACATACAGCTGTATGCAATTCAGTGCAACATTTCCGCCTTTACACCTGTGTAATTGTACAGGTGAACCTAATAAAGTGACTGTATGTAGTACCAAAATGAAGACCCACTCTTGCTCAGGTGCTGGGATTACTTTTTCCTCCCAGACACCGTAATTCAAAAGACACCTCCTCCAGGGGTTGCTGGGAGATGTAGGCCTACCCTACTCAAGATAAAGGAAGTTAGAGAAATAGGAAGTTAAATCCAAGATGGGTAAAAAAAAAAATCCCTATAGTTCACTGCCATCAAAACAAAATCGTACAGTAGTTTTATATGATGATGTGGTTTCTAACTTCTTTTTTTTTTGCTTGAAAGTCCTTAAAATTGTTAACCCCTCATCACAAAATATTAGCTTAGAAAAGTCACATGTCTTTGCAGATTAGTTAAACTACTTTTTCTTTAGATTAGCATTTTTCTAAAGATGGCACAGCTGGTGAATCAGTTGGTTGGGTCGACTCTTTGGTCCAGACTAAAATATTGCAACTATAGGATGGATTGTCATGAAACTTTGACTGTACTTTTTATGGTCTTAAGAGGAACAAAGTCTCAGTAAATGAGATGCGCCAATCCACTTGTGATGAGTGAGGAAAGAAGAGCAACGTGGACACTTCCCCAACTTTAACCAGCACCATCATAAAGTTGACTGAAAGAGTCCACGCATTTCATATCATTAATAAATTTTACTTACTCTGTGTAATATGTACATTTAATAACCTAGTAAATAGTGAGATTTAGACTATTTGAATTTATAAGACATTTACACAATATCAACAGGTCAGCCTGTTGTATTTTGGGTTTATAAAATTATATCATTGACTTTGAAATAATTGTCAAGTTTAACAAAATATTCCCCCAATTTCCATCATAATAATATCGTAAGTAGGCAGTGAAACCACCAGTATACCAGTATACCAGTAAAATAAATGTTTTACTGCCTTCTTTGTTGACAATAGCGACAAATCGCCGTTGCCATGGTTACGTCTCAACCACAAGTTAGAGGCTGCCTGTCTCCGGTTAGTGCTTGGACGCAAACTGTGCAACACCATGGCCTTTTTCGGTTTAACACACCTGGGTTATCAAAACCCAGTGGGCGATAAAATGATAGTGAACCCGAGAGGAGCGTCTCAGTCTCAGGGTGAGTAGATGTCACGTTGGCCACAGTGCGGAGGGAACAGGCCCTTGAGCTCGTTCATAGCTAACAGCAATAGCAGCGATTACTTTAATGCTTTCAAAGCCTTCGGGGTATTAAAAATAGCAATGCACATATAGGAAGCTTTATCTTTATGTTATCAACCTACTGTAGAATTTCATGCATTTCGGCCACTAGACAGGTGTAATTACAAACATTTTCTTTTATGACGTTGTTATTCATAAAATCCATCAAGCACTTTGTGTTGATTTTAGCATTTTTATGAAATTTCAAGTTCTACACTCAAAGTGAACTACAAGTACTCATGTTTAACTTAAACATGAGTCTTTTTTTCCTGTGTGATAGCAGCAGACTTGTTAATGTAATCAAAATAATTCTATACTGTATTAACATATTTTCTTTACAGGCGGTGAGTTTAACATCAGAGAAGGACTGCCTCCATCGCTTCAAGAAAACCAGGGACCCCTCAGATGTACAGACATATGTAATGTTTATTACCAGCCTCTTCCCTACAGCGCTGACATACACAATGGGAGCCACAAGCGATATAAAGAGATGGTCAAACGGGTTCAAACACCCAGTTGTGAGTCGACCAGAAATTAGACATAATTTAAGGGTCTGATGGACAAATCATACCAAGCTAAGTACATCAATGAAACTGGTGAAAGTATTGGTCTCCTCTTTTCTTTAGCCCCCAACCAGCTATATGTAATGCCTGTGACCGAAAGCCAGCAGTATGGATGGATGATGTCTAAGACTCCTGAACCATGGACCCAAATCAAACGGTTTCCCCGAAAGAACAGTGAGATGACAAAGTACATAACATTTCCCAATCTAATGTTAACTTTTTTTTAAACACACTGTTTAGATCTATGTGATTGTAATCCACCCGTTTCTTTCACAGGTTTGTTAAAGAAATGTCACTGAGAGACCAGGACTTCAGCCTCTTCTGATGACCCTTTCCATTTTTCCTCTTCTTCATTTGTACATAAGTGCGTGTGCACATCCATTCACAGCCATAAATAACAGAATTAGCATCAGTCTTGGTGTGAATTTCTGAAATTAAACTGATAACAGATGCACATAGAGATTTTTTCATGCTTAGTTTTGTTGATTCTTTCATCAATGATGAATTTATTGTTTTTTGTTTGTTTGTTTTTACATTGACATGATTAATTTGACCTTTGAGTAAGTGACTAGAGCCATTGGTCTACTCTTGAATCTTTTTAGCTGGTCTGGAGGTGTGAAATTTCTAAATGAGTTCTAACAAATATTTACAGATTGTTTGCAGGATTTAAAAAGTTAAACAGATTCAGAAAAAAAATTAAGTTATTAAAAGACTTTCAAGACAAAAGAGCCCATTTGTATATTGCACATCAATGTGACATACACTGTAAATTACTGTACCACCTTTGAAGGGGCCCAGACCTACAGGTTCAAAGATGCTGAGACCATTGAGTCATCTGTAGAGATACTGAGACTGTACTTTAGAGGAAAAATAATTACTTCTGAATTTTGGAAGATAATGGACTTTATCTCAAAGGTTTTTTTTTCAGTGATGCCCAGAGCAGCAGACATCAAGATATGCTAGGCTATTCAGAGCCTCTACTGGAGTCACATTCCTTTTGTGTTTAAACATACTTGTTCAATAAATGTAATTCTAATTATGAATTATTATTATTATATTTTATTATTATTATTATTATTAATAAACATTCTGCTACTGTAAAATAAGCTCTTAATGCCATTAACACAAATAAGAAGTTTTGCATCATTCATGTCTGGCCTCTGTTTGTATAAGCCTCAGGTAATGCGTATTTTCCACACACACACACACACACACACACACACACACACACAAACACATTTTTTTTAGAGAAGATGTATTTTCCCCACACACACACACACACACACACACACACACACACACACACACACACACACTCAACATTAGCAGAACACACAAAACAGCCATTGATTTTTTTTATTTATTTTTTCTTCAAGGGGAAATGTTACTTTTCTTTTTGTCACAGTCCTCAACTCTTCTTGTCCTTCAGCTTAGCAAAACACTCCCCTTTCAACTCCTCCAACTAAGGGAAAATACAAATGAAACAAAAACAGATACGAAAAGATTTATCAGGCCTGAGCAAAACACTGTTTCAGTAGTATGGGGATAACCCCCCCCGAAAAAAAAAAAAATCCCAAACGTTAATAATCAACACAAGTCTATGGACAACCGATAGAAATAGAATACATACAATGCACATTTTTATAAACTTATGTCCATTCTATAAGCTCTTTGCTTATATGAATCATTCTTCAATTGGTCACAGTTCACATGATAGTTGGTGATTTCCCTTTTACACTGCTGTCCTCTGTTGCTCCCATCACACTTGAGGCCAAATATCATTGTACAGGGAACCGGGAACCAATAGCACTTAGGCTCTGTCAGCTGGCTTTGGTACAAACATGATCAACTGTTGGTTGCCATTGTTGAGTGTTGCGGCAGAGCTAACAGGGCTGTCTCTCTCAATATCAGAAGCTGAGGCTGGAGAAACCAAGATCACTGCAGGGATGAGAATGGTTACTGAAAATAGTTCTCTACAAGCCCTTATCCCTCTCTGTCCATTCAGACATCAGCAGTCCATAAAGGGCAAGCAGGCACAGTTCCTGTTTAGTGTTATTCTGAGATTTGTTTTATATTAACTTAAGGCAATCAAACCCAGCTTTTAGTATTTTCACTTTTGACTGAAACACCAAGTGGGGTCATATAATACAAGAAAGTGTGGACCTACTAATTCTGCCTGTCCTCTTCACATAGTGTTACACCAGGGAGGTTATTTGTTAATGCTCAGATGTTTAATGTGTGGAAGGGAGAGGTCACCTTAAAGCCTGATTGAAATTTACAATACTGCAGTAGTGGCATAAAAAAAAGCACAGTGAATCATCTGTATGTGTGTGTTTACTGGTGCGCTGCAAAGGCAGCTAACAGTTATTATCCTGCACATGATCACACCTTTCGGCAGTTGAAATACTGTATTATACATTAGGATTGAACAGCAGAATTCAGTGGCTGCAGTTGATCAGCTGGTACCAGTGAGCTTGAGCTTTATAAACTGGCATTTTACAAGAAAGTGTGCTGGTCTTTGATCCTTATCATTGGAATGGAATCATCGTAATAAGCATAATAATTCATCAGAATCATCAGAATCATAACAACATTAAGAATATACAAATGATGGATACAGAAGTGATACAAAATACCGTACATTAAAACAAACAAAAATGAAAACAAGGTACCACAATCAGACATGCTTCAAAGCAGTTATGTTTGGCAAGAAAGCAGTTTTGTTGTATCTTAAAAACCTCACAGTGAAAATAGTTATGCCCCTTCAGAATTACAAAACACAGTATTCAGTCAAAAGCAATATACATTTCATTCCTTCATATGTTTCTTCCTTGTAGGAGAATCGAGCTGTGTGGTACCACTGCACTGAAATCTGAGGTCCCTACCCACCACCGTCCCACCCCCCTGAAATGGCTCTGGAACAACCTGCTGACACAAGTTCCTTCATGTCCATTTGCACCAAAAAAACAGTTCTATGAAAGACAAGGAGCGGTTGATGACAACAGACTGTTAGGGATGAAACCAGCTGTACACTGCTCAAGCTCTTAAGAACCAATCGGACATGAAGTGAGGATGAAGAGGATCCTGATCATAGCTGGAACTATTTCTGCTCTTCAGAGAGCAGAGCACAGATTTCAGACATCATCTTCCAACAACATCCTTAGTCGCCTTTAGTGTAGCGTTTGAGGGCAATATTATAATTTAGAGTTAATGTGATCAGCTCTTTGCTTCCTGAACAACAGACTAAATAAATTAATTGTACATATTTTATGAAAATAGTGATGCTGCCAGCTGTCAAAAAGCCAAAGAGGTGGTGATCGTTGGTGACTTTAGCGAGAACATATTAAACATGTCTTGCCTTGCTTTTAGTAAATACTTTAGTCTTTGGTCAATATATTCTTCCTCAGTTTATACATATATTCATACAGACACAAATATGCATGTACATACACACTTATGAACGTGTAATAAACAGGATATTTGTGCACGTATGTATTCACACTATTTCAAAAAGGACCATTTGCACAAATCATCAAGACTGAAATAAATAATTAATCCAGAAACAAACTATGAGAACCTGTTCATAAGTCATGTCAAATAAAAATTACCAGAGGAAAAAAAAAAAAACACAAAGTAAAATAAAAAAGTAGCCTTATGTACAGCGTTAATCTTCTTTTGACACAGGCTAAAAGGCGTTGTTTTAAATAAACAGACTTTGCATCTTTCAAGAAGCCTGAGAGAGAGGCTAGACATGAGAAAAATACTAGTCCTTCAACACATATGTGGACCAACATGGCTGTCAAGAACACTTTCCTTATGAAGTCTTACGTTTGTTTTCCTCTTAGCTTAGGATCCAAGTGATGGTGCATCTAGTTTTTAGCCATTTGCTCACATTGTGAGTCCTTGCTCAGTGGTGCTATGTCCTTGCAGTGGGGATCATCCCAGCATCTGCTGCTGCCATGGCTGCTAACTGTTGGGTGGTCCATTGTTCAGAAAGTAGGTGGTCATTTCCCCTTTACCTTTGACCTTAACAACCCCACGACACTCCAGCATGTAGCCTTTACTTGCAAGCACCTGGTACAGGTCTGTGGTCACCTGTGAGCAGAACAGGAGAGAGCAGATTGGATGTATCCAAGGATGGATACATTTTAAATTTCCAAAATTGCACTGTGTTATTTTCATCATCTACACAATTCTGAAAACGTCACTCTGGTTGAGTCACAGGCTAGCAAGCTCTCATTTCTTGCATTAGCTGAGACAACATACATGAGAAGGTCGTGGGTGAAGGGCTGGGTACAGTGTGACGGAGCAGAAAGAGAGAGGGGTGGTTTTCCTTTCAGTCTCAACAGTTTTACTGTAGCTTAATTTCTAGAATGTGCATATTTAAAGCTACTCTACCTGATTTATTTTGAACCACTAGAGGGTCTAGTGAGGCTCAAAACAAAACTGACACCATAAGCCGCTCCTGCCTGCTCTTTGCCTCTCACGTCATGTCCTGCTTCTTAGCAACAGCATAAACAACAGATGGCCAGTTGCAACAATCTACAAAATGCAGCCTCCAGTCCAAAGCTAGTGTTAGCTGACTAATGAGTCAATTTGTCAGTACAGAAAAACACTATTTTGGTTTTCTTCCCCTTTATTGTTTTGGTTCACTCCTGCTCTCATCACTGCTTTCCAGTGTAAAACACAGTACAATGTCTGACAGCAAAGAACTCATCTCATCTCATCTTCTATACCGCTTAGTCCCAAACAGGGTCGTGGGGGGGCTGGAGTCAATCCCAGCCGGCATCGGGCAAAGGGCAGGGTACACCCTGGACAGGTGGTCGGTCCATCACAGGGCCAACACGCAGATGAACAAACACACACACACACACACACACACACACACACACACACACACACACACATTCACTGCTACAGGCAATTTAGAGTCACCAGTCAACCTAAGCTGCATGTTTTTGGACAGTGGGAGGAAGCCGGAGTACCCAGAGAGAACCCACGCAAGCACGGGGAGAACATGCAAACTCCGCACAGAAAGGTACAGCACAGAACTGAGGACTGATACAGTCAGTAGCTAGGTGGACCACAGGGGAGCATGTACAGTAGCAGCTAACCATAAGTAGCCAGATACTTCCCTCAGCAACTACATTTGCTTTGTTGCGCATTCTTGGAGTGAGTTGACTCTTTGGGTGAGCGCAAAAAATATTGTAAGGTTTCCTCGCTGAAAGGCTTAAAAATCAACAGGACATGAGGTCTACAGACTCTGCATCTTAATCTAGTTTATTTATACATCATATAGAGACAAGTTGTTTGACAACAAAACACAACATTATACATTTTTAAAGGCTGCATTAATGGCAGAGCTGCTGTACTGAACTGTAATAGATTGTACAGGTATATCTAATAAAATGACTACTGAATGTAATGCTCTTAAAAATGTATGTTCTTGTTTTAATTCTGAAATGTATCCACATTAGGTATTGACACATATTCATTCTAATAACAGCTTGACTTCACAAAAGTATAACTGACATGGCCCTGTTTGTCAACCCCTTTGGGCTGAATTTTAAAAGCAGTTGCACGAAAACCGTACCTGTATGCAGTCAGGGACACCTGTGCTGTCCATACGGCTGGCCACATTGACTGTGTTTCCCCAAATATCATATTGAGGCTTCCGTGCACCAATAACCCCTGCTACCACCGGTCCGATGTTGAGACCTGAGAATTAAAGACAAAAAAAAAAAACCATAATCATCAACAAATCTACTGCATAGCATATTTTTATGATTTGAGCTTTCTTTTTCTGAACTCTGTGCGCTGTCATTTTTGCTTACCTATCTTCATCTGGAAGTTATTGAAGGAATGCTCATTGATGTATTTCATCTGCTCCCTCAGCCTCATGGCATAATCAGCCAGTGCAGTAATATGAGTACGGCCCTCCTTGTCGTAGGTGGAGTCATTGAGCCCAGAGGCCGCCATGTAGGTGGACCCAATGGTCTTGATCTTCTCTAGCTGCCTGTACTTTTCTTCACTGATGATCTGATACATGAAACACAACAATCATGATTACAAGTGTGCAATGTAAAGGGATGGATGACACTTTTTGTCAATTATCTATAAGCCTAAAGTGAAATCCGCAGAATGACAACAGCGCACTTGACAAATATACTTTTACAAACTTTACCTCATCAAAGTCAGCGATGATCTCGTTGAGTAGCCGAAGACACTCCACTCCCTCGTTGTTGGCCTCCAGCTCCACGTAGAACTCTGAGAAGTTGCTGATGGAAGCAAACATGACGGCCACACACTCGCAAGACTGGTAGTAGAGCTCATCATTACGCCGCTCACGTGCCAAGAAGTGAGCAGCTACATCTTTAGGCAGAATATTATGGAGGAGGCGACGGTTGTAGGCTTGCAGTTCTTCCATCTCCTCCTTCTCTTCTGTGGCCTGGGAGTAAATGTTCTTTATTAAATATTTTCAGCTGCAACTTAATATGTGGCAGGGATGATATGCAGACAGAACTGCTGATATTCTATTATAGGCAAAGACATTAATAACCATATTACTGTGAGGCAGCTCTCTCAGCTGTTTGCTGATGCACAACTGTGGGAAGAGATTCTGTTTGAAGTTACCATGGTCAGATAATGCCCCCTAGTGAACACTACAGGTACCTGTAATTTCCACAGGAAGTCAAGGCGTGCAGTAGATTCAACCTGCTGGGCGTGCAGGTACAATGCCAAGACAAAAACTGTGAGAATCACAGGAGTCATGACCCTCAGGGACACTTTGGTCTCAACAAATGGGCTGCAAAGAGACAGAGTCATGGTCAGACTAATGTTGGACAAATCCTGTAAATTGGGTAAAAAAGCACAAGTCAAAACAGAAGAACAAAGTAACAGAACTTTGTAGTATAGTACTTAAGTAAATGTAATTGGTTACTGAAATGATAGAACAGGAGATAAAAGCCTTCAAAAGTAACAGTAAATGTAGTCTTACCACTGGTTTGTAGTTTCATTGAAACTGGACCTAAATGTACAAACATAAAAACATCAATATGGTCAGTACAAATAAAGTTAACCATCTTTCTATTATTCCTTTATTAAATGTGTCTTTTTTGAATCTAAATACCAATGTAAATACTTACCACTGAGCACTAGTATCATTTAAATCACTAAAAAGAGAAAAGTCATTATTAGAACAAGTAGTGAAATATACAAAATTGTGAGACATAATGCAAAATAAAAGCCATAATGTCTATGCTTTAACTCATGATACACAGTTAAACACAGCCTGGGCTGTTTGAAAACTTTCAACACAAGTGTCCGAACAATACCTGAGAGCTGTATCAATACCAAATAATTCTTTTTTTAAATATCTAAATTCAATGTATATAAAACACTTTGGAACCCTAACAAATTGCTCAGTGCATCATCATCATCAGAACTAAAGAACGTCACCTAATTAAAATAAAGCTGAAAAGGTTTGTGATTTGGATAAAGAAATATGTGATTAAAGAATAAGTAAACAAAACTAAGAATATGTCAACTTCAGATACTCTCACTCACTCACTCAACTCTGTTTAGCATCTAATTTGATATAAACTCGTTTCCTGCTCCCTTCATGAGAATCCAGCCTGCGGCACTCACATGGCATTGGAGGTGACAAAGAGGTCAGCGTTGTTGAAGAGTGCTACTTGGGGCCACTCCACCAGCAGCAGGAAGGTGAGCTGAATGAGCAGCATGAGAGCCAGCTTCCCTATGCTACTGATCTGCAGGAACACCGAGCAGGCCAGCAGCGTCAGCAGCACACTGTAGCTGAAATACTGGCACAAACAGGAGATAGCAGCATCACAAAGAGGTATTATCCACAACTAATCTCAGAAAAGCGCAAATGCAAATGTGACATTTTTGAAACCAGTTGCAGAGTGAATGCATTTGGTGAAGTGGTGACATACAATGAACTCACCTCAGGAAAGGGGCAGGAGGGGCCTTGGCTAGGACAGATCTCTAGACCCCCCTCAACAGACACATTCAAGCTGCGGATCAAACAGGGCGTCACCAGGGCTACAGAGGTGTTCAGCTTCTCTGCAACGCATGATGCCAAGCTCGTAGTGTCACAGGCAAACTGCAGGAAACACACACATACACAAGTGTGTGTTCAACATTATTTTCAGTGCACAGGTGTCAGTTACAGGAGAGGACTACAACTATACCATCTCTTCTATCATCTCTTTTTTTGTTTTAGTGTTTGTTATTTCTCACCATCTACAGTAAACAAAAAACTAAAATACTGTTAATGTGTTTAGTACAGGTCAACAACAGCACAATATGGCACTGCTTTGTGAGGCCCAAGTGATGAAGAAGAGGCAGACAATCCACAGTGAGGTTATCACATCCTTTCCATGGTGAAGATGAGCTGTCATCATCAGGACGAAGGTTAATTAAGGCCAATTATACAGCACAGCTGTTGTAATTAACATGTATTTATGATGATTTGGCCATTTAATAGTGATTTGGTCAGCTGGGCTGTCTGCCCCACTCCTTACCAGACAACTGGTTGTGACACTGTTTTGTTATTTGCAAAGCGAAAGAGTGCAAAGAACAAGAGATTTAGCCACTTGTGTTTTACCACAGACAAAGCTCTCTACACACATGACCTGAAAAACAACTGTGTTTCCACATTTAGACAGTTTAGGTGTTTGGGTAGCAATTACTCTGAACTTACCATATTAACAAAGGCAGAGATGAAGACAAGGATAATACTAAATACTCCAACCAGGGTGCTGTTGGTGCGAGACTGGACAATCTTCTTTGAAACAGTCTGCATTGCCGCTGGAAAGAGCTACGAGTGACAATAAAGCAAAGACAAATGATTTACATACTAAATATACAATGAATGCACAAAAATATGAGCAAAGGATTTGTTAATACGCCTTGATAAGCTCCACTACCTTGATGCAAGAGTATATGGCACAGATGAAAAGGATGTTGGCAAGTATTATGAAGATACTAATGTAGATTCCCAGCATGACTGGGGTGCTGCAGGAAAGAAAACAGAAATACAGCTGTAAAGAAATGTTTGGTGTGTTTGTCTGTTTGGTTCATTTGGGCTGGTGTCAGTCAAACTCTGCTGAGATCCAAACAACTGACAGTGGCTCAGATGTTTTGTGGTGTGAGAGCAAAACAGACCAAAAACAAGACTGTTGGCATAGGTATGTGTTTTATCATGAATTCAAAAGCTAAACATCTAAAATTTTATCTGTCGCTTAAGGTGAACTGTTAGGAAACCGATTATGTAAGCTTTCTGTATAAGCAATGAACTGTATATATTTATGCAAAAACCATCCTCCTTCTTTGTGTATTTTAGCAGTTTCTCAATAAAGATTATATAAACAAGTCAAACATGGCAACTACACAGATACAGTAGGCCTGCACCACTAATATTATAATATGTTATGAGGTCCAGTCACATTATTAACTATTAATGTTATTAGTCAGTTATTTCTCATCGTGACTTGTTGTCAATGAGACCATGTAGAATTATACAATAATAAGTCTACAGCTGTAGTAATAAGCAGTTTTTAAATGGTTTTGCCCCCTCCCATTTTACTACCATTAATAAATCAGTCTGAAAAAAAAAACCCAGACCCAAATTAAAAGGCAACATGTAATTTTTTTAATTGGTCCAGACCATTGACTGTATGCAAACAATGAAGCCATGACAGCTCCCAGAAATGAAGCCGCCGTGACTCGAGTGCCCCCTGGTGGCTGGTGGGTTGCAGTATAGGTCATAATGCCCCCAGGCTGATGTGTGTGCAAGCAGTCATTTCTCTGGTAAGTTTGATTTTAATAACTTATTTGATGTTATAAAAAGGGCTGTATTTCAGGTGATTTGAGAGGTTTGATACTTTGATAACATTACTTAACTACTTGATTGCTACTGCCCATATTGATGATATTTTGGCTTCACTTTTGCATAGTGGAGGGAAGTGGTGATGCATCGTCCATATACATATACATATACATATTTAGTATACAATGGCCCAGACTAAATGAACTGAACTACAGGTTTCACAGAAAGCTCAGCGTAGAGAAAATATTGAAGGATTTACAGTAAAGTATTATGTGAATGTTGAAGTACTCACTGAGGAAAGATAACAATCTGTATGAAGGATATGAAGCAGAATACTAGTAGAGTACAGGCCACATAGCCTCCAAAACGACCGTCCACCTTCTTGGAATACTGTGACCACAAACAGAAGAGAGTCAGATATGAGTCGTGACCCTGTGCTGGACATACAAACATGAACTTAGTCTGAACCTTTTTCTCCAGGCTGGAGGTCTGGAAGGTGAGTAGGAACTTCTTAACATGGTCTTTTCTTAGCTGGTCAATGCTACGAGCATCGATGGCACGGCCTAGAAATTCATCCACCTCATCCTCCGGGTTCATGGCCTCCTGAACACAACGGCTACAAAAAGATGAGAAGACGTAGATCATGCAGGAGATAAAGAGGTTAACAAAATCCATTAAAGCAGTGCAGAGGTTTTTACATGTGTAAGCATCAAGAGTCAGTACTCACTTGTCTTTACTAGAGGTCTCATCAATCCCCTGAAGAAGAAAGCAAACAGAGAAAAGTGAATGAGAACTGACTCTGACAGAAAAGCTGCAGGCTGGCTCTCTCCCTGTGAATGAGTGTGTCAATGTTGACTCTCACCATTTGCCTAAAGACTTTAGAGTCTTTGGTCCTGGAGAAGGTTCTGTCGGGGACCCAGCATGGCATCAGCGCCTCATTAGAGTTGGCTCTTGTCCGCTGCATCTTGGCCATCATCGCCTTCTCCTCCTTCTGCTCAGAGGAAACAACATGAAGGCTTGACCAACTGTTCTCATGCAACACAGCACACGGTGAATGACAATGGAAGTGAAGTCTTGCAATATTCTGTATTTTTGCTATTATCAAAAATACCATGAAAATACCAAAACAATGTGTAAGCCAGTGAGTATTTAGGGCACCAGAACAAAGTCAAGATAAACTGGGCCAGTGAGTATTTAGGGCACCAGAACACGGTCAAAATAAACTGACCATAGAGTGTCGCCCATGTTTTGAATAGTTTTTGGACAGTTACCTGTATATTAAATCATAATAAGCTCTAGAAACACAACCAACACTGGTTATAAGAATGAGTTCAGTACTGGCCTTTGGTCAAGTTGAGTGCTGACTCAGATGGCACTAGTAAACAACTTCCTTTCTTGCAATATCTCAAACCACTGAGCAGTGTCTGAAAGACCTTCGGACCCATGGGTCTGTGACTCAAACTGGACTTACTGGATTGTATTTTAGCTAAAGCATCCCACTCATACTAACACAGACCCCTGTAGGTTTTTAACACAGGGCTGTGTATGTTCTGAAACCCCCCAACTCACTCACTCACTCAGTGGTGGGATATACATGGTTCTTTGTAAAACATCGCTGTTTCAATTCAGTGAAGTTTTTCCAATTTTTAACTGTTTTTATTTGTAATGAGCTGTGTGTGTTTTTGTGCACTGACCCGTTTCTGGCTGCAGCCGAGAACCAGGAAGGTCTCGATGCTGTTCTCCTTCAGATACGCATTCCTCTCACCTCCAAATCCCGGCTCCACCTCGTAGTCTCCATTCAGATACTGCAATGTGGCCTTAGTGATGTGGATCCGCCTACAGAGACCAAAAGACCAGAGAATCTATACGAACTTCACTGATATGACAGACACACTTCTGAACATACCCAGTGACTCCGCATAACATAAGTCAGGCACATTAAAGGACATGAATTCCATTAATTTTAATAATAAAATAGAGTTGACGAACATCAAAGAGCTTATGGTGTGCTAGAGAAGAATAGGATTATTGTGCCGCATTTTACAATTACAGAGATTGTTCAGGAATAAAAAGGTTCCACATTGACTGAAAAAAGTCTGAAGTTGTTGTTCTTGATTCATGAATGTGATATTTCTTTAGCTAGCTTTAGATTATTTTCTTCTTTCTTTATTTCTTCCTAAGAAGTTTATTTGCTAAAGCAACAACATTTAACCAATTTGTTTGGAGCAGCAGCAGCTGAAAGGTGTGATGCTGATTTTATTTTAGAATTATAAAATGAGCATAAATGTAGATATTATCTTTATATTTACTGTTGAATTTGTTAGATGGATAGAAAATATGGAATTTATTTTAAGTGAACCTCATTTACTTCCTCTGTGAAATGTTAAAGGGTCTTTCTAAACATGTTTTAGTAAACAAAAAAGGAAATGGTGTTGACCACCAGTAAACGGTGCACTGTGATGGTTTTTGTTGTACGTGAACTATAAACTAGAGCTGCAATGTTTGGTCAATTAATCAAATGTCAATAGACAGAACAACTATTTTGATAATCAAAAAACTGTGTTTGCAGGATCTGGCTTTTTAAGCATTAAGATTTTATGCTTTTTTGTCACACATATTTGGACACAATGAGAAGTTGCCTTAGGGTATAAACAAAACAATCTACTTATCAAGAAAAGTGTTGCTTATTTTGCTCACCCTGCTTTGCCGCCCGCCTCCATGTGATTGGCCAGTGTGACATCGTTTGACCACACATCAAACTGCCACTTCCTGAGTCCCAGCACGCCACAGTGTACACGCCCGCTGTGAATGCCAACACGCATGTTAACATTGACGCCTGTCACCTCTCGCACCAGCCTGCAGAAACACAACCCAGAAGATGAGCATTTCCTTTATAGCAAGGAGACAAAAGTTCTGTAAAATACAGCCAACAAAATACACACCACACAGGCAAATGCTTTTTCTACTCACGAGATGGCCTCTATCATGTCAACACCCATCTCTACACAGCAGTGGGCGTGGTCAGCACGGGGTTCAGGCAGCCCAGACACACAATAGTAGCAATCACCCAAAATCTTAATACGTAGACAGTGATTCTCCTGAAAAAGGAAGACACGGAGCAGGAGAGAGAAAAAGGAAGGACAGAAGGTAAAATGAAGAGATGTTTGGCTGACAAGCGCCACATTTAAAGAGATAGTTCAACATTTTAGGAAACATATGCTGCCTTGTTGAGACTCAGGTGAGAAGACTGATACCACTCTCCTATCTGTCAGTAAGGCATGAAGATGGAGCACAAAGACTGGAAGTAAGGTATTTCCCAAAACTATTCCATTTTAAGACAACACAACACAAAATAGCAGATACAGGAGAGAGGAGACTGTGGCTCCTTACCGACGCCAGTTTGTCGAATCGGGCAAAAAGTTCATTGAGTGTCATGACCAGCTCCTGAGCGGTGCACTGAGAGGCCAGACTGGTAAAACCCTCGATGTCTGCAAACAGAATACTGAGGACGAGATCAAGAGGTGGAAGAACAGGGTGTGGAAGAGAGAGACAGAAAACAAATCCTATTAATCCTTGACTATAGTCCCATTTGGACAGGACAGACATTACAGGAGGAGGTATGTTAAAAAATATATCCTGTTGGACAATCCCTTCCTCCCTTGTGATGAAAGTCATCAATTATGTATGGCATTTAAGCTACAGGGACATTACAGGAGCTGGGCGTTGTATTACTTTTAATATAAGTGTTATTTACTGTTGTTTATTAATTAGGCCAAGTAATTTAATTATTAGCACAGACAACTACAAGCTACTTAAATACAGATTGACAGCTGTGAGCTCCCACCCCTGGCTTTGGCCTTCTTTGGTTAAAGCTTTTAGAAGGAAATATCTCTGCACTGCTGCCAGGCTCTGCTTAGTGAATCTGGGTCACTGGGGTGTTTGACAGCACCGCTCCAAATTAAGATGTAAGTTGGAGCATGTTTTATCTACAAACACTATTGGAGCCAAAATTTCATCTTGCAGCTTTAATTCACGGGTAAAACATGTAATACTGGTATGGCCCAGTGTCCCAGCTGACCTGACATTGTCATGTTTCTGGATATAGATCTTGTGAAACATCATATCTTCCTTCTTGGCACTGATGTCAGCCTTCATCTCCATGGCGACATGCCTTGGCAATACTGACAGCAATAAACGTTCCTGGAAAACACAAAAGAGGGAAAATGAAAACTGTGTCATTCACAATATTAGAAATCTATCAAGTTCGTGTAAAGTACAAGTGTGTGTGTGTGTGTGTTCTTCAACATGTGACACCATTTTGGAGTTTTAGACTTGGAATTGTGTCCACATTTAAATAGTTGTTTTTTTTTTCCTCCCCCTAAAATGGAACCTTTCCAAAACAGCCTCCTGAAAAAACTGTAGCATTAGGGGCATCAATTCAATTGCTGTTTCATATTTGTTCTGTTGTCTGACAACAACAGAAGCACATGTTAATGAGAACATCTAAACAGTGAATTTGGCTGAATTAAAACAAAATACTGTAGGTAATGGCAGAGAGCAAGAGGACACTGAATGTGTGAGTGTGTGTAGCCTACATTATAATGAGCTGGTAATTAATAAGTGCAGCAATTAACACCTCCTACATTATATTCAGTTCCAAATTACGTAGACATTTCTGTGGAGTATCCTAATAACCTACAGGTAAGTAAAAGCAAATTTTTAGGAATTAATGAAGTATAGTTTCCAAGAAATTAACTGAAACATATATGACACAATAAAATAAAATAAAAAGATGGTTTTCCAAAAACAGTTGCAGGAAAAATATGTGTTTCATCTTATATTCAGACTATGGTAATATGCACAGTACATGTGTACATGAGTGTGTATTATGTGCAGGCCTACTTGTTGCTGATTCTCCCTCTGCAGATGTAGTCTGGCCTGGATGTATCCTCTAGTCTCCTGAAAGGCTTGTCTCTGGGAAACCTCAGCAGGGTAGTGGGTACAGATTCCAATGATGTTGGTGCAGAGGAAGATTAGGACATTAGCACTCACCTGGAGAGAAGGAGCAGGAGGGAGAAAGAACTAGTCAAGCTTAAGGTTAGAGGAAGGAGGGAAGATACTGCTAACCCTGTGAAATAACAGCAGGAGAAAGTCATAAATAAGCAGGTACAAGATATATCACTGATACAATGGATTTATTTTTATGTACCTACTGTTTTGTTCTGGAAGAAAATGTTTTAAAGAATCAAAACCTCAGTATTCACAGAGAGAGAAGTACACAGGATGTCATGTACAATTCTAAATAATGTAAATAAATTATTTTATCTTTTAAACAAGCCTAGATGTTTTTTCCTTGGGGTTTAACCTTATATCATAGTACAACTGTCCTCTAGCTGACTGGTTTATTGACAGAGGGATGGAGGATAGAGATGAAGTATACCTCAGGTGTTTAACTTCACCAGAAAATCCCTGAAGTCACAGTGAAACAGAAGTATTAGCATCTATAGCTCCTGTAACGTGACATGTCTGCATGAAACTGAATGGGTCAGGTCTAGTTATTAGAGGGATTTAAATCACTCTTTAGATGTTACTGGACTTCTCAAAAGTGTGCGTGGTTAAACAAATATGGTGACACAATATGAGTGAATATGAAGCTCAGGAGCTGCAGAGGACTGATGGCCTCCACTCAGACCTGTCTCACCTGTGTTGTTGGCCTCTGAGGAGGAGGATAACAGCTAAATTAATGCACTAAACCTCAACCATAGTCTTTGCTGTTACTATGATACTTTACCCCCCCAGCCATTCTCAACCAGTGGGCCCCGGCACACTGGTCAGCCTCAGCGCACCATCTGGTGGGCTGCAAAGTAGTACTGCAAATGGTTGGATTAAAAAAAACAATCATTTATTATTATAATTTATTTATTTATAATCCATAAATCTAGGTATTTACTAAATGTGCTCAAGAATTCACATAAATAAAAACAGTCAAGTTAAATGCATAACTTTGACCAGTTACATTTGAATATCATAACACATCATCAGGAAGTGACAAATGTGTATCACCGCTGTTAGCTAGCTAGCTAGCCAACATTGTAGTAACACAAAATGGATTGGTTTTTGAAATGAAAAAGTGATGTGGGAGACAACTCTGTGCTGGCAAAATTATGACCCTGAATACAATAAATACATGCACTGAATATATTATTTTATATAGTGTTGTTTCTTTTTTTTTCCCTTTTATTTGACAAGGTGGTCCTCGGAAATGTTTTAACAATCTAAAGTGAGGCTCAAGTTACAAAAGCTTGAGAACCCCTGCTTTACAGCACATCAGGGCCTTAAGACAGTGTACTCAATTACAAATCTGCTAAATGAAAGAACAGGACGTGTTTATCAAAAATCCATGTTTGCTTCAAAGCACACACTTTTAAATATTTAGCTATAGCATGCACAAATTTATGTAATTAATCTATTTAACACACTCAGTGATGACATTGATTACATTTGCATTTGCACTGTTGAAGGGTCATGGCTAATCTATGCTTTCAGTGGCACACAGACACACATATTCATGTTGTGTTTCCATTACTTCATGGAACTACAATGACTTAAATTCATTTCCTGGAGACTTGCCCTAACCTTAACCAACCAACCAACTGTCAAAATGATATGATTTCCATATTGGGGACTTGCCTTTTGTTCCTATAAAGATGTCAAGCCCCTGAATTTGACTGTGTAAAAAGATTTACATGCGCAAACCATAAGTAACACCGGGTCATACACAAACACAAAACATTTACTCAAACAGGAAATGCTCCTTTTTGTGGAACCAGTTGTCCTCTCTGAGCCTTACAATCCACTGGCCACCTAATCATTTTTACAGTGTGTTAGCCTGTTGCTCTCTGCTGAGATTGATGGTTTAATGCACTGTTGCATTGGGATAACTTCCAGCATCCACAAAAAGTCCCCAGCTGCATCGTGGGAATTACTGTTGACCTGTCATAGGGCCACTTTTTTGATGTGCTCTTGCTTACATCCTGAATGTGACCCTCTTGACTCCAGGGGCTATGTTTGGACAGTAACAGAGACTGAGCGTGCACCAGAAGGACACTAGGAGATGACATATCCCGTCTTCAAACTAAGAGGAGCAGAGAAAAGGGTTTCAGATCTGGTCTGATCAGCCAACCCAAACATTGGATGAGATTACTTTACAAAGCAATGGTCCCTTGGACCGGTTATCCTTAGTTTCATGATCAGGACCTGCAATATTAAGTAAGTATAAGTATTTGAGTATGTAGCCACAATCTGTTACACACTGACATGTCCTGGATCAAAATGGAAATACATAAAGGCCTGGGGGTTCTGTTAATGATACTATATACTGTACCGTTCACCTTTTAAACACACACAGCTCCTACATTATTACTGTAGATCAAGGATTATCACTTACATTTTTCTAAACAGACGCTTTCATATTAAAAAAAAATTGGTTTAATTACCATAATGTTATTTTTATTGCCCCCTATCAGTGTGAACTAACAACTATAGGTGTTATTTCTACTTAAAATGCAAAATGTTAAATGAAAGCATGTGAAAAACAAACAAACAAAAAAAACAAAATGTTAAATGAGGGCAGCACGGTGGCGCGGTGGTTAGCACTGTTGCCTCACAGCGAGCAGGTTCTGGGTTATGAGCCCCGGCCAACCTGGGGCCTTTCTGTGTGGAGTTTGCATGTTCTCCCCGTGCTTGTGTGGGTTCACTCCGGGTGCTCCGGCTTCCTCCCACAGTCCAAAGACCTGCAGCATAGGTTGATTGGTGTCTCTAAATTGCCCGTAGGAGTGCTTGTGTGTGTGAGTGGATGTTCGTCTGTGTGTTGGCCCTGCTATGGGCTGGCGACCTGTCCAGGGTGTACCCCGCCTTTCGCCCGCAGCTGGTTGGGATTGGCTCCAGCCCCCCGTGACCCCGTTTGGGACTAAGTGGTTTAGAAAATGGATGGATGGATGTTAAATGAGAATATGAGCAAAAGCCACACTCCATTCAAGCAAGCTCATCCTAAAACCAGTGTGCAAACTACATCATGGAGGGGCTCCTCACCACTATACGGAGGGGGCTTCAGTGTTGAAGAGGGGGCTTCTGTGTTGAGGGCGTGGGCTCCAGCCAGCGCCAAATCCACTTACAGTAGCCTAGTGACTCACTGGCACACAAAATAACACAGGAAAGCAGCACAAGAGCCATGGCTGACCAATCATGATACAGGCGTTACTGACAGTTGGTAAAGTCAATCCGACCACACTGTGGCTGCTGTCACTCACTGCTCAGTGACAATTTCCTTAGATGGTAAATGGTCTTATACTTGTATAACACTTTTCTATGCATTGCAGCACACTTCAAGTGCTTTCACACTATTTCAACCATTTGCACTTCCAAGCACTCACACACACCAATGTCATCACCGAGAGCAACTGGGGGTGCAGTGTCTTGCTCAAGGACACTTTGACACATGGACTGGACAAGCCGGGAATCAAACCGCTAATCGAACCACAAACTTTCACAAAGACATACTGTACATGTTATACTACCAGAGGGATATGGTGTACAATCTGTTTCTGTGGAACAATCACTTCTGGAACAACAGCATCAATGCTGTGATTATATTGTTATTGTATTATTTTAAAAACACCAGAAGACCCCCTGTATTTCACACAGTCCTAGCCTGCTGCTATTCAGTGCACAACCAGATAAGCAAACACAGCTTTATGAGTGAGGTGTGCCTGACTCATGCAGAGTTGTGTAGGCTACTCACTGATAATAAGCTGAAAGATGGATTTATACCATCTTTAGAACCTATATTTGTGTTCAGTAAATCATTCTTAATACAATTATTTCCATTTAAATTTTATTTTAGGTTTTGGAAAAAAAATGCTAGATATTCTAAATACCAGAGCACATTTTTTTCCTCCTTATATTTTCTGATTTCATTAAAATACTGTGGGCCAGATGAAAAGCTTTGGTGAGCCGGATGTGGTCCATGGGCCACCAGTTGTATACCAGTCTATCACAGAGCCAAAAGAAACATGTTAAAGGGAAACTTCCATGTAAACACAAGAGCAGAAATGACTGAAAACATATGCCGTGATTACAAAAGATGTCTGAGAATTGCAATAGAGGTTAAAAGGTAACCCAAGGATAAATAGTTTACAGAGCACCGCCGGCACAAGAATAGAAATAGATGGGTAATGGACTCGAGTCTGAAAAGAAAGCAAACAAGAGGTGGGATAAAAAAAAAAAAACAGAGAGGCAGCATAATGGGCAACAAAGATAAAATGGTGAAATGACAGATGTTGAGGGTAGGAAGCAAATTAGTGGTAAGGCGCGTGACGAGGAAGGAAAAAGACAATGGGAGGACAACAAGAGAAAGATGAGTATGGGGGAGTGAGAGAGAGAGAGAGAGAGCAGGACAGATATGGGCCACAGTGACATTAGGCAGATGGCTCAGAGCGCTGTTTATACTACTCTCTCTGTTCAAGCAACAGCCAAGAGACGACAGCGAAGCCCTCAGCGCGATGTGTGTTTACAGGTGAATATGTTCTGTCTGTCCATATGTGTGCAGTCACTTTGATGTGTGGATGTGTTTTTGGCTCCATATGAGGTAAGGTGCATCTACTCTAAGTATCCACGTATCTGTGGAGACTCACTTAACATGCCTATCACACTCTACGTGTCTGAGCTCACAGGATCAAACTAATTGCTTGCTTTTCTCTAGAGGGCAAGGGCTAGTGAGTTTACAGAGTACACACTAAGTTCCTGTGTTTACACAACAGCACTCCACCTCCTTTGGAGCTCTGCTCGGCAGCGTTTACCTGCTACCTGTGTACACTGCCACGCTCCCGATGCAAGGCCGCTGCACCTGCTCATGTCCTCTGTGCTCAACAACACACTCATTTATCTAAACCCGTCACTTATTACCTCGTCCTGCCAGACCTCCCTTTGCTGGTTTGGTCCGGCACCATTATACTTATACCACTACGCATTATGATCTTCATTGCTCACTCCCT